TGTTGGTTTACTGTGAGCTAATAAGAGCAATAAGTACTTAAGAGTTTAGAGCTGTAGCTTCATTCACTATTCACTTTTATGATTGTAATACAACTTAACTTTTTGTTAATGAACTAAGATCGTAAATATATGCCCTTGATATGTATACCCTTGATATAGGATATACTCCTGCACAAATTATAGATATTGAGTGAATTTTCATGGAAAAATAAAGAAAAAGAAGTATAGCTATCTAGTCAAGTATTTTTAAAATTCCACCAGTAAAATAAGCTCTCCCTGGTAGAGAAAGGGTAATCACAGAAGATAAATATATACATATATATAAAGAAACTGATAAAGCAACTAGGCTACAGACGAGTTCAAGTCATTTTAGAAAATGACATATGATTGTAAACATCCAGTGAGTTGTACTTAGATTTTTCTTCTCTTTTTCTCTTGTTCACCACCCAAGTTCCTCAGGTAACAGTAGCACAGTAACTGAATGTTATTTTATTATTGGAGCTACAGCATATACAGAGAAATAAAACACTGGAAATCACATTAATGAAACACAATTTGGGGAAATATTTACTCTAAATATTGCTAAGTATGACTCCCAGAGGCATTCCAATAGAGGTTTCCCCCAGCATACTTTAGGATATGGCAGACTTCTTATTAAAAATTCCAAGGAAAAAAATTTCATTATTTCCCTTTGGGGAAAAAAATCCATTATCATAGAAGCCTCATTATACAAAAGTTCTTCCATCTCCCATCTTATATGGCAAAATTTTCTCCCTTCTCTTTGGAAGCAGAAAGAATCAGGTTACCACCTTTTATAAATATTTAAGATTATCTTTAAAGGAAGAACACTGAAGAGAATCACATTCCTGAGCCATAATTCAAGACAACCATTTGCCCTTAAAAAACATTAAACTATTTTCTTATTTTAAGTAATAACCTATGGTTTATCATTTGAAATACAAGAGAGTTAAGTGTCACATTTTCACTCTGAATGTCAGATTTATTTCTTACTTCCCTATATTGAATTAATATTGACATTCACAATAAGACTAACAGTAGATAGCAAAATAATAAATGATTAGTCCTATGAAAACTAAAATCATGGCATCCATTTCTGTCACTTCATGGCAAATAGAAGGGGAAAAATTGGAACCAGTGACAGATTTTATTTTCTTAAGCTCCAGAATCACTGGGGATGGTGACTGCAGCCATGAAATTAAAAGACACTTGCTCCTTGGAAGGAAAGCTATGACAAACCTAGACAGTGTACTAAAAAGCAGAGACATCATTTTGTCAACAAAGGTCCATATAGTCAAAGCTATGGCAGAGACATAAGAGATGCAGGTTTGATCCCTGGGTCAGGAAGATCCCCTGGAGGAGGAAATGGCAACCCACTCCAGTATCTTTGCCTGGAGAATCCCATGGACAGAGGAGTCTAGCAGGCTACAGTCCATGAGGGTGCAAGGAGTTGGATACTACTGAAGTGACTTAGCACGCATGCGCATGGTTTTTCCAGTACTCATGTGTGGATCGAACCATAAAGAAGGCTGAGTGCCAAAGAATTGATGCCTTTGAACTGTGGTGCTGGAGAAGATTCTTGAAAACCTCTTGGACTGTAAGGAGATCCAACCAGTCAATCCTAAAGGAACTCAACCCTGAATATTTGTTGGAAGGACTAATGCTGAAGGTGAAGCTCCAATTCTTTGGCNAAGAGGAAGATTCCCAGCATCGAACTTTTCCCATGAGAAGTTCAGATGAGGCAGGAAGTACCTGAGAGCCTTAATTCCTTGCCAGGTTGTCTAGCTGAAATGGGAAAGAATCAAAACTCTAAAGGTATTCTCATGGGCTTAGGTGAAGCTCACAACTCTGAGGATTGAATTTTGATAAAATGTATTGAAAAGAATCTCAGAGAGAGAAAGTAGAGCTATATACTATCAACAGCTGCTGCTCAGAGTGCTACCCTTAACCCCTTCAAGTGTGTATTGAGAGAGAACCAGAAAATGATGAGGAAAAGGAGAACTGCACCATATCAAAGGATGGCCGAAGAAGGTTAGACAAATGAAATGACCATATGCACACTGGCCAGAGAGGAAACAGAGTGTATTTGTTTTATTTAGCTAAATGCCTGGAGTCTCTCCCAATTGATGCTTTTAATTTGGTTCCCACTCCTGTAGTTCTTATACTGCCAGAATTTCTCCTCTAAACATTTAAATTATTAGGTGCTTTACCCTAGAACTACAATCTTCAATCAGCAAGTCAGACCCCAAATAACCCAGATGGGGACAACAGAGGATGAGATGGTTGGATGGCATCACCGACTCAATGGACATGAGTTTGGGTAAACTCCGGGAGTTGGTGATGGACAGGGAGGCCTGGCGTGCTGCGGTTCATGGGGTCCCAAAGAGTCAGACATGACTGAGAGACTGAACTGGTTGACTGATAGAGCTTCTCCATCTTTGGCTACAAAGAACATAATCAGTCTGATTTCGGTATTGACCATCTGGTGACGTCCACTTGTACAGTTATCTCGTGTTGTTGGGAAAGGCTGTTTGCTATGACCAGCATATTCTCTCGACAAAACTCCATTAGCCTTTGCCCTGCTTCATTTTGTGCTCCAGGGCCAAACTCGCCTGTTATTCTTGACTTCTTGCATCTCTTGACTTCCTAACTTTGCATTTCAATCCCCTGTGAGGAAAGGCTTTCTTTTTGACCCTGTGGAGACTGTGTGAGCCCAGACTTTTGGTGCAAGCGCTGTTTTCAGTGTGGATGCTTGCCACATATTCCTCAGGGTGTGCTCCTTGGTCCCTTCCTTGGGGGTGTGGCCGGGGTCACGGTGACCAGGGCTTGCAATGCATGTAGGGCAGGAGCTCCTCTTTGGGGTTGTCACCACCCTGCTGGGGGCAGGATCTTTTGCCCAGTTGTTGAAATTTCAAGCAGTTTTAAGCTGAGCTGTGAGATGGACAGACGGGAGAGCTCCCTCTGGGAAAGAAGCGACTGCATTTTCTCCCCAAGAGCTGTTTTGCTAGCAAAGGCCACTCTGTGAGGCTGCCTGCCACCGGGTGTGCATGCCCACGAAGACCACCACTGCGGGCCTGTCCTCTGTGCCCACTTCCACTGGCAGGGGTGCCGTCATTGGCTTGGAGGTCCCTTAGGCCTGCGTGTGTCCTCACAAAGCCACTGGCAGGAAAACCTGCAGAGGCTGGTTCCTGTGCCCAGAGTGGGAATGCCAGTAATTTGGACCAGCCCCGCCTCCACGTGTTCACACCCATAAAGTCTGCCAAACTTGCTGCACCTGGCACCCTGCTCCACCGTGAGCAAGCTGATAATGGGGCTGCTTCGGTGGACCCACGCCCCGTCCCTCCCTGCTGTCGACAGCGTGGCTGCTGTAGCAGACCCACACGGTCCCGTGCACACCCCAGGCCCTCAGGCTGGCCGTGCAGCCAGACCGAGTCCCCTCCCCTGGTCTGTCTGGTCTGGCTGCCAAAGCCAAGGTCTCAGCGCCGAGTAGCTGGGCACACCAACAAGGGAGTCTGGAGACGCATCAAAGACCGACAGTGCTGGGCTCTTTTTATCCTTCGGGGTAGAGGGCAGCTTCTGCTCTTGCCTCTGCAGCTCCTCTGTCCTGGCAGACCTCCCGCCAGTGAAGGAGGATCCCAGGATGAGCATTTTCCCCAGTTCTCCCCCCAGGCAGTAGAACCTGTCCAGATTCCTCTCCTCTCTGCTTTATCTCACCTGGTTATCTGGGGATCTCATTTGTAGCCTAGGTTGTATGAGATTTCCTGCAGACTTTCAGTATGTCTTCTGCAAGAATCGCTCCACATGTAGGTGTATTTTTTATGTACTAATATTTGTGGAAGGAGTTCCATATCCCTCTACCCTGTCATCTTCATCCCCTTCTCTATGTGTTTCTTAAAACAAAAGGTCTCAAACATCAGAGATTGAGTCTGAGTGATCTGAAAGATCTGGGTGACTTAGGGACCGTGAGTCTGTATGCCTCCCAAGTTCTGGGTGATTTTCAGGCAGCTGCTCTGTGGACCAATCTTCTGGGTAGCACTGCCTCAACATATAGTGCAAAAAACACATGAGCATTACCTATCACTACCTAGTTAAAATTATAAACTTTTAGATCCCTCCTAAGAGTGATTGAATCAATGTCATTCTATTCTATTGTTCACATTCACATATACTACCTACAATTTAGTAATTCAAACTGTTATTTGAATATTATAAAACACTTTATTATATACATTATAAATAGAAAAATGGTGACATATATGTAGGTCATCTTCAAATGAAATACAATTCAAAGTTACAAAATTCCTGCTAAACGTTGTTCCTGAAGTCATCTCTTTTTGTTAATAGAGGATGATAGAGGGGATAAAGGATAATAGCACAATTTTAACATTCATTCTCCTTTACTTAACTAGAAGACGTGATTAAAAAGAACTTCCTATGTGACTCAGATGCTAATTTAGTGCTGTTTGCCTGCTTATTGTTAAAACAGTCTCACCCAGTGCCAGCTGTATTCGCATGACATTGGGAAGTGTGACTTCAAGGAAGCATCTTCCTTCTCCCTTCTCCAGCTTTCATTCCAGCGACGCTCATTGAGACATGCAGACAGTCTCTGCCAGGCCCTCTGCTACACTGACAGGTCAGGCTTGGAACGCCCTGTGACACCTTCCTCTAAACATCACTGCGTCATCAGGTGTTAGTACAATGGAAACTGCCTGCCGAGACTGCAACAATTCTCCTAGGGGCTGAGAGCTACTGTATATTCGTCTTGATCCTTGTCATCATCATCTTCATCAATACAATGTTATTATTCATGCAGAAAAAGTCTGCAGAGCTGAAACGATGGACAACTGCATCTGTGCTTCCAGTATACTAAGTTAGGCGAGAAAGTGGCTGATATGATGTAGTCATAAGCATACAGACTGGAAACCTTGAGTTTTTAGATCTAGGCAGAAAATGAAAACAGAACAAAACAAAACAAAAAAACAAGGGCAAAGTTCACTTTATCAATCCAGATACCACATCATTAAACTGATATACAAGTTAATTTGAAACCATCAAGATTCAAAATAATTAAAAAAAAACTATATAAAGGGGAAAATCTCCAAATGAGTTTCTCCCTCATTTCCAAATTAAATCTTTATCCAAACACTTTAAAAATAAGATATAATAAAAGATAACTCATATACTTGGTTTCTACCTTTCCCTAGTAATTGCCATATTTCTCAGACATACAGTAATGAGGCACCAGAGGTCCAGCTCCAAAATGGGAGACTAAAATATCTATTTTAATAAAACATTTAAATTGCCTCAGTGACATCTTTTGATTTTACTCATTTTTTCAAACTGTGGGTCATACTGTATAGCCCAACTTCAAAGTCTGTCCTTTCAAATTTATCTTATATCCCACTTTTTGCTGACATGCTAATAAACATTTTCAGAAAAGGGCTATAATTCCTTATTAGTTTTCATCTTAGTGACATAACCCATTAACCAAAAAAAACCCCACACTCTCATTGGTTTGAACAAGTTAAGAAAATGAAAAAAAAAAAAATAGCTCTAATAACATTATACAGCAATCAAAACTTATGAATTAATCTTGAATGTGATCTGGAAGGCTTCACATGATGTACTAAGTGCAAAAATCAGGTTGAAGTATGATGTGTTATAACAATGATAATATTAAGAAACAATCCTTCCCCAAATGAGCATATATTTTAAATATGAGCAGGAAGAGTGATAGAATGATACATATTGATCTGTTAATTTTGGCTGTTACCTTGGTTGTTAGTTCAGGCTAGAAACAGGAGTACAAACACATGTTGAAGGATTTTTTTTTCTTTATACGTTGTACTCCTTTATCTTTGAAACAATCTTTTAAAGAAGTCAATAAATAACATTTAAATGTGTAATGTAGATACCAGAGCTTAATGAACAACTCTTTGAAAAGGACTGGAACCCAGGACTGTAGGGCAGGAATGCTATACTATCTCTGATTTAAGTCTAAGGGGTACACTTCAAAGAGCCAAGCATCTCAAACAAGTAATAAATAACCCACAAAGAAAGCGTATGTGAAAATGGTTTCCATGAGAAACACATGGAACCTGAAAACATTGTTTTGTATAATAAACATATAATTATTGATTGAAAAGTTTTAATTAACCAAAGAAGACAAAAATTGAACTATGCAGCAAAATACAAACTTTCTACTGTATTAATTAAAAAAAATACTATAATATCATGGAAGGAGACTAATATTTATCTGAAGAAGAAACCGCATTAAAGTTTTAAATACTCATATGAATCTCATAAAAACAACATTATCAAGGCAAAAGAAATAGAAAATACTCTTTTATACATTGACTTCTTTTCTTGGAAAGTTACTTTTTATGGCTTTTATTGTGAAAGGCATTTAAAGATGGTGATTGAGAAAGCACAAGTATTTCTGGGTAAGGTTGAAGACCCATTTGCTTATTATCTTTCAACTTCTGTACTATAACTCTGGCAAATTCTTCTCCTTGAATGTCAGTGGTATCTAATAACTGTCTGACTTTTGAGGTCCTTGTCGGTTTGGTACTAATGAGTTCATAGTCCTCCTTCATTATCAAATCTCTGGACAGGAGGGCATCTAGAGATTGGTTAAGGCAGGCTTCGGTCATCTGGCTCACAATGTCTTCCCTTTTACTCTGGATCCACTGTTGGGCTATACCAGGCTGAAATCGCCCTGTAGAAAAACAATGACAGGTAAAAAGGTGGGGACAGATATACAGCTATGAGTAAAATCAGATGAAAAACAAAATAATAAGGTGTAAAAGCTGATTTTTCTGTAATTATGCTAATATGGAACAGCAGTATTTTGAAAGATGCTATTAATTTTCAGGAAACATTCAGATATTTCAGTTATCTCTTCCCTTCCCCTCCAAGAAAATGCACTGCGTTTTTACTCTCTGTAAATCATGGAAGCAAATGTCACTTTTTTTCAGATTTTTTTAAAAAACATAAAGGATATTTGATAAATAAAAATATATTTACTTTAGTGACATTTAAGTGACATTTAGTGACATTTAAGTCACACCTCCTCTGAGCACTCCCTCCCTAGACAGATGTTCATGGAATACCGTTTAGGCCTGTGTTCACATGTTAACACTCATGTCTTCAGGGATTGGAGTGCTTTCTTACTTATGGTACGTATATACCATACTGAAGAACACAAAACGTTAAATAGCAAATCTATTGAATATACAGTTGTGAAGTAAACGGCATCACTTACAAAGTGTTTCACAGCACATATTTACCTGAGTTTCCCTCAGCTGAGAGAGGATTCACTACTGCTAAAGAGCATGGGGCAGTCCTGTGATCACAGAATGCTACCCGATGATCCACACAAATGTCACTGTCCTGACTGTGATTCACTGAACACTGACGCAGCACAGAAAAATCTGGAGTTTTTCCTATAAAACACAACATCTCCATTAGGGGTAGAATATTCCTATTAGCTAAAATGTGAATGTCTGGATCACACAGAGGGTGGTATTTAATGTCTTTTAATTTTCATTGCATAAGCTTGTTCATAAATCTAACTCACAAGTAAATAGTTTTTAGATCAAAAAGGTTTATAATTTTTTTTAAAACCATATTTCTGTCTGTGCTTGTCTGTCCTATATAAACTATAAATTATAGAATTTTACTTCTTTATATCATATTTTTTCTTCTGTGTCATCTTCCCCCTTCTGCACTTCAAATGTGTCCTGTGAATTTATATACATGTCTTTCCACAGTTTCCTCTGGCGATCTTATTAAATATCAATGTCTCAATGGTCACCTCCCTTTCCAAATCCATGTAATTGAATTTTCTGTCTTCACTGAACCTTAAGTCTTTCATTTTCAACAGGATATAACCCTCATATACGCTAAGCACCTCAAATTGTAAAACGTTAAAAACAATTATTCATCTTAACTCTAAAACCCATTTCAACTCCTATTTCTGTTAATAGCACCAATGTTCTTCCAACTAAACTTGTTCAAAGCTTTATCTTTATGTTCGCCTTTTTCCCCTCTATTCTCTCCTACAAATGAAAAGTTGTAAAGTCCTATCAGTGTGCCCTCTGTAACACTTCTCACACCATTCTCCTCTTCTTATACTCTGGAGCAGGTTTCATAATTTCTCATGGAGTACATTAATAGGAGACCAGACCAATAGACCAGCAGTCTCCTAACTCGGAGAAGGCACTGGCACCCCACTCCAGTGCTCTTGCCTGGAAAATCCCATGGATGGAGGAGCCTGGTAGGCTGCAGTCTGTGGGGTCGCTAACAGTTGGACACGACCGAGCGACTTCACTTTCACACATTAGAGAAGGAAATGGCAACCCACTCCAGTGTTCTTGCCTGGAGAATCCCAGGGATGGGGGAGCCTGGTGGGCTGCTGTCTATGGGGTCGCACAGAGTTGGACACGACTGACGCGACTTAGCAGCAGCAGCAGTAGTCTCCTAACTGGGCTCCCCACCTTGACTCTCCTTTCCCTTCCAAAATATCCTGCACATTCCAGCCAGGATGAATCTTTCTAAAGAAAAAAAGTTTATCATGTCACACATACCCTTGCTCAAAAATTTGCAATAGTTGCTTCCTACCCAAGCAAATGAGTCCAAATGGCTTAGCCTAGTATTAGAAATCGTCCTGATGAGTCCACCCTCCTCATCTTTGATTACCTTTCATTCACCATCTTCGCCAGCTAGACCCAACTACTCACTGTTCTCTGGGTTTTCTTGCTTCTTTGCCTGTATGTAGTTCCTTTTGCCTGGAATGCCCATCCTTTATAACTATAGGTCCAACTTTCAGCCAGAAATAATTTCTTCATGATGACAACATGGTGTAGTAGAGTGACATGAAAATGTTTATCAAAGAGACCTGGGTTCAAATCTTGGATTTGCCAGTTACTAACTATGTGATCCAGCAGTCTTGATCTTAAGAATCTGTAAAATGAGGAATATCTCCCTCACAAGGTTGTTGTGAAAGTACTTTATAAAAATGTTACTTTTCGCTATACTACCATAGCGCTACATCCCTGCATCTCACACAGTACACTGCTGTTTATCTACTGCTCTGGTGACTTAGAAATATTTTCCTTCTTTCTTATAAGATATTTTAATAAATATCTTTCTGCGGTGTCTAACAGAATGCCTTTATACGTAAATGCATCTTGTTTAACGTCCCACACTGTTTTCACATCTTCAGACTGTCACTTTAAAAAACAAGTTATGAATGCAAACCAAAGACGTGTTCCATACGAACCATGGCTACCTGCAAGAATAGGGTCTGGTAAGAAAATTGAAAACTTACATAAGTAATAACTGACTGAAAAATATACACACCAGATGAAAAGTCATTGTCTTGAGGAGCTGACAGGGACCTTGAGGTCCCAGGAGAACCACTAGTTTTATGGAGCTGAGAGGATCCACACGATTCCTAAAATAAATAGAAGGTAAATTATTTATGTTAATGCAAAATTATTTAAAAAGTTATACAGCTTTAATTTCTAAACAGGTCTTGCTTTTGGCTTGTTATAAACAAAGAATCAAGACTAACACAGATTATACTTTACAAAATTAAACACATGTATGAAATAACAAAAAGCAAAGTGAACTTGATTTATCAGGTTGATTGGGTGGGTGGGGCAATAGTTAAATATACTAGAAATCATTATTTTTTCAATATTTTGTATATAATCTCACAGACTGTCCAGCTGATGAAAAACTTGAGATCTGTTAACTCTGATTACCTAATACTGATTCAGATCAAATGCCTATTCTCAAGCCTCAGGTTGCTTCAACATGGAGGAGCCGAAACTCATGGAAGAAGTAATACTGAACTTGGATCCAATCCTAGCTGTGCCATGGAATCACTGCCTAACCTTTGACAAGGCATTTACATAATCTGGTTCTCAGGTTCTTCCTATATACCTATCTAAAAACGTGCATGTATGGGCTCAAAGATTCAAGAGATAGCATATGTAAAGACTACATACTGTGTTTTATGGTTCATTTTGAAGGTATTATTACTCTTCTGAATCTGTAAAGAGAACAATCTTATATGTTCCTAAAAGAAATGATTAATGTGAAATAATCTGAATAAATGCTACTAAAGAAATCCTTCTATTTGAACAGCCACATAAATGGCATTTTCCCTTTATCCAGTCATTGTAAAAAGTTAAGAACAAGTCAGGTAGTACAGCTTATAGTGGCAGAAGTGTATCAATGATTTGCCTATGTACTACCCTGGGACACCAGTCTTCATATAAAACGATGACAGGGACAGAATTCAACGCCCAAGAAAGAAGCGAGCACTGTGATTTGATGAGATGAACCAAACTGGAGACTGCCATCTTAAAATCCTAAAACCTCCCTGGACTTGAGCTTCTCATCTATAAAAGAGCGAGATAGACTAAATGATTTTTCACGTTCTTGTCACATTTTGAGTTTCATTAGCATAGTTGTTTGTTTTTTTTTACCTCCTGTGGACCAGAATTTTCAGGTATGTTTGGAGATAACTCCCTTTTCTTCTTGTCACTTAAGTGAACAGTTCTTGAAGCATTCTGTAACTGAAATACATACATACATACATGTGTTTGAATTAGAGGTGATTAGAAAGTTATATGAGTAAAATACAATCTACTTAACATATTTTAAATGTTTATGCAAAATCAATGGGAAGAAAAGCCCAATCAGTTGAGAATATACTCTCTAACTTAAAGGTGGAGACGGTGTAGACCGGGGGAAATACCTTGAGGGACACATGCTTTGAATCCTGTCTCATGTTAACCGGTTACCTCAGACAGACTCATCCTTTAAAATGGAACGATATTTACATGCAGGATCATTCCAGAGACTGAGATAATAAAGCACCTAGTTCAAACTAAGTTCTTTATATATTTCAATTTGTGTGTATATCTATCTATCCACAATTATTAAGCATTTACTATATTTTAGGCACCATGATTCTAAGTAATATTATTTCTATTTTAATGATAAGAAGTTGAGGGCTGGACTAAGTAAAGGAGGCAGAGTGACCTAACAGAATGATGGGAGCCAATCAGATCTGATTTACAATGCCAGGAATCCTGTCTGAGACAGGGCATAAGACTTAATCTTAGTTTACTTATCTGTAAACTGGAGATAAGAATATTATTTTTGTGGATTACTGCAAACGAGGATTAGAAGTAATATATGCAGAGGACTTAAGATTACTTTGTAAGCATTCGATAAATAATATCCATTAATAAGCAGATGATTTATTTAAATGCTATGCCATTGTACTAAAATCATCTCGTGATTCACGCCTGTCTCTTTAGGCCAGGTTTGGATTAGTCCCCATCACTACTGAGTGATTTAAAAACAAACCCATCAGTTTGTTTTTCTTCCCCAAACCAACACAATATCAACTGCTCTACAGAACTTTAGAAATTGGTGGGATCCATACCCAGCCCTTCATTATTCACACTTAACAACTGTCTGATCTGTAACATGTCTAAGAACTTTAAAGAGAAAAAAACTACTATCCATCTGTGTACATAATCTGACAGTACTTTGGACACAGCAGTCCAATGAACATTTGTTAAACAGATTTTTATATGAACCTTTTAAATTCATCTTTAGATTCATTTCTGTTATATAAATCTTTTCTGTGCTTTTAAATTTATTAAAATATTTCTTTATGATAATCTTTATGACTATGCAATATCATTAACTACAAACATCATTTTTCATAACTGATCAGTTAATTCAAATTATTTATGAGTCAGACCCTAGAAAGAAATACAATGAAATATGAAGAAAAAACTTTGATTCAGTTTTTACTATTGAAGATATAAGAGATGCTATCCATGAAAACATGTATTATAGGAGCCAGTTCAAAGAAAAAAATGAAAGTTCAAACAAAACAACTCACCCCAAATGGTGATCTTTGTTTTCAGAAGTTTCTTTATGAAAAATCTTATTATCTTATTAAATTTGTATTCTATTCTTGGCCCTGCCATTAGCTAGCTGTGTAGACTGTCATATGACTTACTTCCCTATACCTTAGTTATTTCGTCTAAAAATGGAGATGATATTCTTTCCCTAAGAGTTTTAGAGAATTGATACCAAGATTCCAAAAAAAGAAAAATGTTAACTAAAACAGCTCTGAGTGAAAACAATACCTCAACTTAAAAACACTGACTAAAGACAGTAATGCTATTATTAAATGATAGTCAAGTATTTGAAAATACACACTTTATTTAAGAAGTAAAAATTTCTCCCCCAAATTAACAGTTTTAAATATAGATCCTAGTATTTAAGTTGGCTGGGGACAAAAAAGGAACTGAACTGCTTCTCTTCCAGTTCAGTTTTTTATAATCAAGGTGGAAAAGGTACAAGAAAAGAGATCCTTTTATCCACTTTTGCTTGGCAAAAGAGCAGCAAGTTGTAAGGAAAGGAAAGGGAACTGAAAAGACAAAGCAAAAAGAAATATTATCAGAAGTCTGTTTCTACTGTGAAGTGGAGAGACTAGAATGTTCTGGAAAAGACTACCTAGTCAGAAAGCAGGGAAGTCAACGAAAATTTATCAAAATATTAAAACACAGTTCCTCAAAACATTCAGGCACTAATACTGCCAACATCAATTTTAAGTTTGAGTGAGGGCAGTTGTTTCCTTTATGTACTTCCTTTTTAAACCAAAATTTTATGGTTATTGTTTATGCACTTCCCTTTTAAACAAAAATTATGTTAACAGATCCACAAACTGCAAGAGGCAAGCAATGTCATTTAGTGATAAATCAATGGTAGATTATGCCTGTCACAGCCTAACAATTCAGCTAATAAATGACAGTTATTATCATATCCCAAATGCTATTTTGTGAAATCCAGCAAGTGTTAAACTAAGCTGACTTTGTCCCTTAAGGATGTAGTTGCTCTTTAAACAATTTTTAATAACAGCAAGAAAACCCTGCAATAATAGGTCCCTTCAGTTGTTCTTCTGATTTACAAGAGCCAGAATGAGTAAATGAGACAACCATTCTAGGTAATTCGTATCAACTGCTACTTCGGTCCATGCAACATGGAGTGTCTGAGTGGGAAAACACAAATAAGCAATAAAACATTCACATTTTGGTCTCAATTATTAATAAAAGTTCTATAGCTTAATTTGGCAATAAACCTCTGAAAAACCCAAGAAACGTGAATAAAGGTAAGTACAATAATCCAGGCATCTCTTACTCTGTATGTATCAAAACTTTTGGGAAATAAACATAGATTGATTAAACAACAGTAACAACTGTGGTAATTTAGGGTAATAATTATACACAACAGGCACTCATTGCACAATTCAAATTTACATTTGATATATGGGAGGTCTGAAAATATCTTGGAAATCTGGAGGTGGCTGTTTGAATGAAATGGAGAAGTTCTTTGGTGACAGATTTAAGACCGCATTCATACTCTCTAATAAATTCTACTGCCTCAGTACTGTAGCCTGTATCTGCGGAAGGTATAAAACTAAAGGAAAAAAGAAAAAAAATTAAAGTCTCCATGATTTAAAGTTTTAAATTTCTAACATTTCATATGACAATTTACCTTCGTTTTCTTTAGCTGAATAACAGCTTCAAGAAAAGTTATCTCTTCAAATGTTCTCAAAACTGGTTCAAGTTCTATTAAACATTCTAAATAAGAAAAAAAGAGCTCAGGTTGCTTATAACCATTAAAATGAAAAACATAAATGCTAATATTATGTGATAAGGCCTTTTTAAGTCAATTTTTTCCCAAATTGATGACATTCAAAATCATTAGAATGTTTACTGCCAAAATAAGAATGTTTATCATAGGTATAAAGATTATATATCTAAATAAAGACAGATCAATGGAATATAATTGAGAGTCTAAAAATAAGCCTTTGCAAGTATGGTCAATTATTCTTTGACAAAGTTGCTAAGATAATTCAACGAGGAAAGGACAGTCTTTTCAACAAATGTTGGATACCCACACGAAAACAAGATTTTAGACTCTTACCTCACAATATACAAAGAATTAACTTGAAATGGACCATGCACCATGGACAGAGGAGCCTGGAGGGCTACATCCCATGGGGTTGCAAAGAGTGGGACAGGACTGAAGTGACTTAGCATGCATAAAACTGACTATGCATCTAAATGTAAATATAGGTGGAAATCTTCATTGCCTTGAGTTAGGCAAATAATTCCTAGGATATGGTATCAGAAACAGGATCCATAAAATATCTTTGATAACTGGACTTCAAAAAAGTTGAAACACTTACATTAAGAAAAATGATGCATTGAGAAAAACAATGCTATTAAGAAAAATGAAAAGACAAGCCCCAGACTAGGAGAACACGTTTACTTATCATGGATCTGGTAAAGAACTTATATCTAGAATATAAAAAGAACTCTAACAACTTAAGACAAATAACCCAATTTAAAAATGAGAAAAGGATTGAATTTCAGCAAAGGAGACACACAGATAGCTAAAAAGCACATGAAAATATGCCTAAACACCATTAGTCATTAGGAAATGCAAATTAAAACTACAGTGAGGTATCACTCCATACTCACTAAAATAGCTGTAATTAAAAAGACAGACAATAACAAGTATTGACAATGATGCAGAGAAAAGGAAAACCTCACACATTGCTGGTAGGAACGTATCACGATGCAGCCGCTTTGGAAAACAGCTTGGTGATTTCTTTAAAAAGAAGGATAAATTTACCACACAACCAAGCAATGCCACTCATAGGTCAGAGAAACAAAAACATATGTTCACACACACATGTGCGTGTGAACAGTCATAGCAGCATGATTAATAATAGCCAACAAGCAGAAACAGTTATAATTCTGCTATTACTACAATAATATACAGACATGCTGCTCAAGGGAGAGGTCAGGGCTCCAGAAATAAAACTGAGCATCAAGAAGGTAGAGATGGTATAAAAGCCATGGTTTGGGCTGGATCGTCTAGAGAGAAAGTGCAGATGGAAAACAGTAAAGGACCATATTAAGCTCTGAGCCATTCCAACAGTTAGACGCTGGGCAGAGGAAGAGAGAGAGAGAGGAAGAGACGATAACAGGGAGGGAGCGTGGTCTCTGGTGCCTTGGAAGCTATCAGAGGGAAAGTTTTGAGGAGGCGAAAAGTCAGCCAGGACTCTTCTGCTGAGAGGCTAAGTGAGATAATCAGTATTTCAACAGTGCTTTCCTTGGTAACTTGATCAAACACAGCTTTAGTGGCAATATGAAACAGAAGACTGCTGTAAGTCTGTTAATAAATAAATTAGAAGGGAAGAAGTAGAGACAACAAGTATGGACAATTCCTACCAAGTGTTTAGATCTAAATGCGAGTGGAAAAATTAGGTGGTAGCTGAAGGATGATGTGGGGTCAAGAGTTTTTTTCCTATATAAAGATAGGATCTAACAGTATAACAGATCTGTATGACATGAGAAATCCAGTACACAGGCAGAGACTGGCAATGCAAGAGCAGAAAGAATGTTAAGAAACAAATGGTGCAGAGAGGAAGAGAATGACATCCAGAGCAGAAGAAACACTGCTTAGAGTTGTATAAGAACACTCTTCTTTTCACTGTAAAAGAGACAGGCAGTAAGACAGGTCAAGTACAACTAAGTTGGTAGATCTGGTAGTGGAACTATGAGGGAATTCTCTCTCATGGTTTCTATTTTCTCAGTGCTCAAAAGAAACATGGAACATGGGGTGTAGGAAGCTTAAGAAGGGAAGATATGGTACAATATGGATTACCTGTGTCTTCACTTCCTGAGTTCAGAATCTATTAAGAAAAGCTACCCAATTATGACAGATGGTGATCAAAATATCACCTTTATTACAGATAAAGCTAAATGGAATTATGTCCCTTTTTAGATCTGTAGCATATGGGCTTACTAGCAATATTTTGCCCCTTCAACTGGGTTTTACTCACTTAGCTACAGGCCTCACCTGCTTCCATATGGGGAAGCAGAAAAATGTATGCATCTTTTAGACAAGCTTACTTCCAAAAGTAGGAGAAAACAGAATGGATTAGCTAAGTATGCTTAGTTTTTCTCCAAAATTAACCAATGAGCAGGAGTTTTGAGGGGCAGACAGAAGCCGGAAATGTTCCTCCCATGCTTTGCTTCTTGGAGATTGAAAGAGGATTTCATCTCCACTTTGGGAACATAAAGTATGGGACTTATGCATCTCCTGCAGTAGTTCAAGATGATCATCTAGGACAATAATTTTCAAACTTTTGGGTCTCAGAACTCTTCAAAATTATCCCAAAGAGCTTTTGTGTATGTTTATCATATCTACTGAGATTTACTATATTAGCAATTAAAACTGAGACCATTTTAAAATGTCAGAGTATATGAAAATACATTACATTATCCCAATGATATCATTACACCTTCTTTAGTCTCTGGAAACTATTTTCCCAGAGGATGAGAGTGAAAGGGGAAACAGCACCTTAGTGTTTATTATTTTGGAGAAGCTTTGATTTGTGAGTCCTCTGAGTCTCAGGGACCAACCCCACCTCCAGGGGTCCCTGTGCCACAGCTTAAGATAGGTGACCTGTGAGAATGTATTTGAAAACATAGCAGAATGCTAAGTAGTGTTCAGACTTCAGTTTTAGCTATTAAAGAGAAACAGCGAATTTCATTTCTGGACAAGATGAAGCAACAAGGACCAATTCATCCTCCTGTCTTAAATACCCAACAGTCAGACAAAATGCATGAAACAGTGGGTATTAAGACACTAGCTATCAGGCAACAGAAAGGGACAGTGATCTCTGAGTGACAAGAAATAACTGAGGTGAGCCGCACCGCAGCCTGACTGACCAAGCATCCTGCCCTGAGAGTTTCCAGCTGCACTACAGGGATAGGCAAAAAGGTGAGGCCTGGTGGAACCTCAAAGCTGAAGACACAGGGCTTAGACCTGATCTACCTTAGGGTAGACTAAGGCAGATAGAGTTTATGGGACAGTGTAGGAAAGAGGAGAAGTACGTGTGGAGAGAACTCCAGAGATCTGCAGAACACTCCTCTCAAATATTCAGCAGCACTGACCACTGCAGGATGTAGAAGTCACGAAGCCAGTGTTTTCAATGAACAATAGGGAAAAGCTAGGAAGTCTGCAGAGAGATTAAGTGAGTATTAGTCTTAGAGAAGAGAAGAAACTATTAGCTGCTCAATTGCGCCCAACTCTTTGAGACAATATGGACTGTAGCCCACCAGACTCCTGTGTCCATGGAATTCTCCAGCCCAGAAAACGGAAGTGGGTAGCCATTCCCTTCTCCAGGGCATCTTCCTGGCCCAAAGAATCTGCCTGCAATGCAGGAGATGAGGGTTTGATCCCTAGGTTGGGAAGATCCCCTGGAGAAGGGAATGGTTACCCACTCCAGTATTCTTGCTGGAGAGAAGTAAAGTAAGTTTTGACTAATGATATGATCTTCAGAAAAGCTAGAATCTTTAGGGAATGGAGAAGAAATTACAGTTTGAAAGTGGCACTGGGGACAAAGGAGATATATGTATCTGCTATCAAATGGTGCTTGGAAATAAGAGATAAAATGCTAATCCATTATTACAGCAAATTTTGATTTTTTTTAAGTACAATGCTGATGAGCACTAGACATAAGTTTTGAATGCAAAATATATTTTATTATTTTTCTAGTTGGAAAGAAGATTCCCAGTTTATAGCTTGTCTTTTCATTTTCTGTAGCATCTTTTGAAGTGTAAAAAGTTTCAATTTCTTTGAAATTAAATTATCAAAATTTTTTTTAATAGATCTTGTTTTTGATGTTATATATAAGAGCTCTTGGGTCAACCCAAGGTCATGAAGATTTTCTTCTATGTTTATATTCAGGTGATGATCCATTGTACCTCTGAAATATATCTCAATTCTATCTGATTTTTTGATTTCCAGGATTGGTCTAGAGATTCTACTCTTGTCCTGCTCCAATCAATTTTTTACACAACAGCAAATAGCTCCTAAACGGTAAATTTATCATGTTCTTTCTCTGAAAACTTGTATTTGGAATAAACTTCTAATCTTTTTATGATAGCCAACAGTCTCTCCTTACCACTTCAATCTCATCTAATAAAAACGACTGAATTTAAAAAAAAAAACCAAACTTTTGACTTTGTCATATAACTTGTGTGACTGTTCAAGGAATACTTTATTTACAGCATATTCGCTATTTTTGTAATTCACAAGGTCCAGATTAAAACTGTACACTTACTTAAGAAAGATGGTCTTTCATCTGGATTCTGCGCCCACCCACTTTCCATTAGAGAGACCATAAGCGTTCGATGAGGTATATCAGATGGCAAGCTTTCTTCATTAATGTCAGGTCGATGTCCTTGTGACACACCATACATAATCTGCAAAGGGTTAGTGACGTCTGCCAAAGCAAACGGAAACACATTTCATTCATCAGAAGCATATTATGGTCTCATGCATTCATTACATTCTAACCTCACCCAATGAAAATCAGAGAAATCTTAAAAATCTTAGGAAGAATTCACTACCTCCCTTTCTGTCAAAGGAATATCTACATCCCAGCTATGCCCAGACTTACAGGAGGAGTTTATAGCTTCACCTCTTTAATTCTGGGCTTGGCCGCGTGATCTGACTGGGCCAATGGAATGTGAAGACAGCAGAGCAAAGCAGAGCTGAGCGGAGCTGAGCGGAGCTAGCGGAGCGGGGAAGAGTCACGGCAACTAGTCGTCCAGTGTGGACAAGACATTATCGCGTTCAGTCTGTCAGCTGCTGAGACTCTGAGGCGGTCACACAGCAAACTGACCTGAACGGACCTCAAAGAAACAGACGGCATTGTCAGAAAATGTGCAAGTTATTCTTCAATGTCTGCTGGTCTTCAGAAGGAGCACTAATTAAATTTTCATATAAAGATTTTGTAGTTAGAATGAACCTTAGAAATAAGAATTCAAAATTCTTATTTTGCAGATGAAAAAAATGAGGACTTAAGAGATTCAGCGGCTTAATAATGGAGTTAATTACTAACAGAACAAAATGAATCTATATTTCTCCAATCTTAAATTCAATATTTTCCAATATACATGGGATTCACATTGATAAACTGTTATGCTTTCCTAGTGTGTTTTCCACAAAATGAATGGTAGACAGATTTAAAATAGGTGATCTTTATTTAGACAGTTCTGAGTATGATTTACCAGCATGATATCATAATAAGAAAGTCAAGGTACACTTACCTTCAAAAGGCTGCTTTCTGGATAAGACTTCCCAGGTAATAATTGCATAGCTGTTTAAGATAAAACATACATACAGTAACTATGCATAATAAGCTAAATAGTACCGATTTTAAAAGCTGACAGTGGAGATACCAGTTTTGAAAATAATAATGTAGTGAAATGCTGCTTAAAGAATCACTATATAGAACCAAAATGCTGAATATTTGTATACAGTTTTACTTTGAAAGGAAAATAATTCAATTTGAAAAATTAGGAAATTAGTACAATAAAAACAAAGTAATAGGCAAGGATAACTTGTGGATGATTCATTAATACTATGTCCTTTAATTACATGATTCTATTATTCACACAAAATAATGAGTAACACAAAAGAATGTCTCAGGTAGCCCTATTCTACTGACTTTTTTCTGGTGTGAGTACGGTCTCCTTTGGTAAAGTTAAATGTTATTCACAATATTTCCCTCCCTCTCTCAAGGTCACATATGATAAAAACCCTTGAATATTACAAATTAATAGAATAATAGACATGTTTTAATATTTTTTAAGGATGTAAAAATAGCTTAAAGCGAGGCACCTTTATTTTTATATTTTTTTATTTTTACTTTTTGGCTGCTCTGCACAACTGGTGAGATCCGTTTCCTGAGCAGGGATTAAACCTGGCTATGGCAGCAAAAGCATGGAATCTTAAATCACTAAGATGCCAGGGAATTCCTTAAAGCAAGGCATTTTTAATTTGAAAAATATTAACCACTGTCTCTAATCTATTTTCACCACACCTATGAGAGAAGCATAAAAATCATCCTTTTAAACTGTAGCTTCAACAACAACAACAACAACAACAATTGTAGCTTCAAAACTCTGACTGATTAATCTTATGGAGAAGGAAATGGCAACCCACTCCAGTACTCTTGCCTGGAGAATTCCATGTACGGAGGAGCCTGGTGGGCTACAGTCCATAGGGTCGCAAAGAGTCAGACACAATTGAGCGACTTCACTTCACTTTAGGCAAAGTTAACTCTGAGCAAAAGTAACATACTGTACCTATATATATCATGCTTGACAGAAGCCCTTGCTTTCTGTCCGGGTTCATAGTTTTCAGGTGGCATATAGACAATTGTCCCTCCTTCTGGTGCAGACTTACTACTTCGTGATTGTGAGAGGGACAATTTACGCCATTTTGATAAACCAAAATCTGCAATCTGGAAGGGAAAAGAGTAATTAAAAAATTTTCTTTTTTAAAAATCCAGGAATAGAATGAGTATATCCATTTTACTTTTTGTGACAAGTAACTTTATATCATGTGCTTTCAAAATTTACCCATACCTCACAAAACTGCTAAACTACTCATATCTAATATGACTGTCACTGTGTTTATGTTCTTCTTTATATGTGCTTAAAATAGTACTTTTATATTTTGAAATAAGTAAAATTCCATTAAAGTATAACTCATTATTATATGACTTTTGCTTACCACTAAAAGAATATCTGTTGACAATAGTGTAGTTAGCAATATAACATATTTATGCCCATGCCGAGTGGTACCTAAAGAACTGTCAGTGACTGACACTCTGTACTTAGTTATACTTCAGCTGAAAATTTTGTGCAGATACTACACAATATTTTGTAACTATCTATAATGTTCTAATATTTTTAAAAAGGGAGACAAAAATGTAAGAACAGAAACAATATTTAATGAACAAAATAGTATAAGGAAAGCTTTGAAGACATTTAATTTAAATTACTTAGACCTTAAACTGTGTCATTTAGGAGTTGACAGAGTGGAATGAGTTCCATCCGCCGTCCACCACACCATTTGTGTTTCAATCATTTAACTCTTAAAATACTTACAAGCTTTAACAGAAGAAATAATTTCTTTAGTGTTTAGATGAATCTGAGATTAAAAAATTATAGCCCTACTCCAAAAAGGGATGGAGGACTACACAAATCTTTCATATATTACCATAATGAAAGGGTAAACTTAAGAAAAAAAATTAGAAAAGACCAAGAGAAAAAATGGTACCACGACATGAAAAGCTAAACTGGACTGATTTCTAAAGGCAGAGTAAGATGTTCTTTAGTCACTAAGTCGTCCAGCTCTTTTACAACCCCATGGACCTCAGCCTGCCAGGCTCCTCTGTTCAGGGGACTTCCCAGCAAGAATACTGGAGTGGGTTACCATTTCCTTCTCCAGGGGATCTTCCCAACTCAGGGACTGAACCCAAGTCTTCTGCATTAGAGGCAGATTCTTAACCACATGAGCCACCAGGGAAGCCGCACTCAGAAGCGTATTTGACACATAACGGGTGAACCATGTATGTTAGTATTATTAATATTTTATATACAGGAACAAACCTCTAAAGCTTGCTCTTATTCATACAATACCAACAACAGAGAATGCAGTTTGAGGGTCTTTAATCTAAACTTTTAGGTGTAATTAAGACTCTGGGCCTCTCGAGAAACCTATATGCAGGTCAGGAAGCAACAGTTAAAACTGGACATGAAACAACAGACTGGTTCCAAATAGGAAAAGGAGTACGTCAAAGCTGTATATTGTTACCCTGCTTATTTAACTTATATGCAGAGTACATCATGAGAAATGCTGGGCTGGAAGAAGCACAAGCTGGAATCAAGATTGCCGGGAGAAATATCAATAACCTCAGATATGCAGATGACACNAGGAGATCAGCCCTGGGTGTTCACTGGAAGGACTGATGCTGAAGCTGAAACTCCAGTACTTTGGCCACCTCATGCGAAGAGCTAACTCATTGGAAAAGACCCTAATGCTGGGAGGGATTGGGGGCAGGAGGAGAAGGGGACGACAGAGGATGAGATGGCTGGATGGCATTACCGACTCGATGGGCATGAGTTTGAGTACACTCCGGGAGTTGGTGATGGACAGGGAGGCCTGGCATGCTGCGATTCATGGGGTAGCAAAGAGTCGGACATGACTGAGTGACTGAACTGAAGTGAACTGAACTGAAGACTCTGGGCAACTGTATCCCAGTTACTCTTACTTGCCACTACAAACTCTTATTCCTCTCACTCATCCTCTAAAAGCAAAAACAGTGCTACAGTTACACACTGGCTAGGATAATAAGCATTACTATGAGAAGGCAAAGAATGCTGAGTGCCAAAGAATTGAGGTTTTCGAATTGTGGTGTTGGAGGAGACACTTGAGAGTCCCTTGGATTGCAAGGAAGTCAAATCAATCAATCCTAAAAGTAATCAACCCTCAATATTCACTGGAAGGACTGATGCTGAAGCTGAAGCTCAAATACTTTGACCACCTGATGCGAAGAACTGACTCACTGAAGAAGACTCTGATGCTGGGAAAGACTGAAGGCCAAAGGAGAAGGAAATAAGACAGCATCGCCTACTCAGTGGCCATGAATCTGAGCGAACTCTGGCAGTTAGGGAGGACAGAGGAGCCTGGTGTGCTGCAGTCCACGGTGTCACAGAGCCCAACACAACTTAGCGACTGAACAGCAACAGGTTCTTATACCTGAACCACACATTGCAAACTACTGGGCTAAATACTGGTTTGAATACAGTGCTGCAGAAAATGTATTCTTAGTTTGCTTATGTGCTCCTTTTACTTCACATTTGTGTTTTGAAACCTTATCTAGAAAAATTAATCAGAATTCCCTTTATCAGTTAATTTAGTTTGGTTTTCACATGAAACTACATTTCTTCCCCTTCTCTATCACAAACACCATATACAAAAGACATGATTCATTAAATCTGGATCTTCCAAAGAAGAGAAAAAGTGAAGAATACGAGAGGAATACAAGTTCTATGATTTCTTGAGCATCCTGAAATATTTGTCATTCAACAGTAAAGACAAAGAATAGGAACTTTTCATTTCTACACAAGATCTTAACATACATTTTAAAGGTAATGGATCTGTTTAGTTAAAAACAGATAACACAACAAGAGGTTATTGCATAGCACAGAAAACTATATTTAGTATCTTATAATAACCTATAAAGGAAAATAACCTGAAAAATATACAAAATTGAATCACTTTGCTGTATAACTCAAACTAACATAATACTGTAAATCAACTATACTTCAATTAAAAAATTTTAAAAATCAGATGAAATTAAAACACTTTGTTCATAAAAGTCATCCCGAATCCTACTACCCTATCAGAATAGCTATTTTCATTTACATAATACTATCTGTCTCTTTAAAACTATGAAGTTATCATCAGTAAGAAGCTATATGGAAGACCTTCCAAGCAGTCTGGTTTCCACACAGGACTGACAGAATAGTAAAGAAATCAGACATGGTACATATAAATATTTATTTCAAACAAGCCTATCATGGGTTCATTTGTATTTAAGGTGCACGAATAGATACTGAGACTTCCCTGGTGGCTCAGATGGCAAAGCGTCTGCCTGCAGTGCAGGAGACCTGGGTTCGATCCCTGGGTCAGGAAGATCTCCTGGAGAAGGGAATGGCAACCCACTCTGGTATTCTTGCCCCCCCCCCCCAAAAGGGGTTCAATGGAACACTGGAGAAGGAAATGGCAACCCACTCCAGTACTCTTGCCTGAAGAGTCCCATGGAGGGAGGAGCCTGGTAGGCTACAGTCCATGGGGTTGCAAAGAGTTGGATACGACGGAGCGACTTCACTTCACTCAATAGATACTGACTAGCAGACCAACAAATTGAATGTATTCTTTTTAAAGTAGAAAAGTCTTGATTGATCTTAACTAGTAGTAAATAATTTTTTTCCAGATACTATTAATAAGTTTCTGATTAACATTACAGTGAGAAAATTTACTTAAAAAAAAACTAACAAGATGTGAGGTTCCATTTAATCTCATTAAGTACTTCAAGAGATTTTTTTGTATTTCATTTAAATGGCTCTTTCAAGAAGACAGGTAGATAGGATAACTTAATTTTTCATGAGTCATGGAAACTATGACTTTTAAGGGGCATTTATAAAATAAAAAGTAGAGACACACAGGATACATATAAAAGAGTGTCACTAACTTATAAGAACCGTATTAGAATGGTCACAGTTTTGCATGTGCTAAGAGTAATAAAAATTAAAAAGAAACACACACACACAAAGCCAAACTATTTTAAATTCTATTCATGTCAAAGAAATACTATGAAAAAGTATTCAATGGAAAAGAGAAAGTAGGGATCATCAACACCTATTACTTTGCTTCTGTCCTCTCTATCAAGGATGGTTTCTGTACTGAGATGAAGCAAATAAAGTCCAAGGAGGTTGAAAAGTTTATAAAGTACAAGCCTCAGTTCATTTTACATATATTTCAGGTTTAGTTAGAATACTAGCAAATACCTCCACAGTGAGATAAAAAGTTACAGAACAGAGAATAGCATTTGTTTTGTTGAAGGTCTGTACAGACATCATGAGCTGACCCATAAGGAGAGCTGCAAACACAATTGCTAGGGGAAGATTCATAGCATTACAGGCTTACCTCAAGAAACAAGTCAAATAAATAACCTAACTCTACACCTAAAGCAACTAGAGGAGGAAGAAATGAAGAACCTCAGGGTTAGTAGAAGGAAAGAAATCTTAAAAATTAGGGCAGAAATAAATGCAAAAGAAACTAAAGAGACCATAGCAA